GAAGTTGTAGCTCCTTGCTTTACACAATGCACGTAAATGGAGATACTTTAATATTCCTTAATAATTTTCATAAGCGTCACACGTAAAATCGTTTATTTTTCATCTTTCTGCTTCATACTATGCTCTCCTTTACGTTATTTAGAACAGCCTTTGTAGCCGTGTTAAACTCCGCATTTTGGCCCGATCGTTAGAAATTTGTAACTCAACTCGATCATTTTAAATTGTAGACCCGTTTCGTATTATACGAATGGAGGAGTTAGCTTGTATGCCCAGGTTACGCCTTTTGTTAAGTTCAAGCTTAAACAAAAAGATTTATTTGAAATTTTCATGACATCATACCTACTCATATGATGTAAAGACCTACTCGTACCTTTACAGACGAAGCAATAATCCTTTGGCAATATAGTAGAATCTGAAGGACATTTTATTTAGTCTAGGTTAAGTTAGGATCCTCTATATTTCTCTACATGCTGCATAATCTAATGTAATTTGAAACAGGAAATAAGATTTCAATTGCCATCGCGCATTCCTAAATTTGTATTTAACATTTTATAAATTAACTTACGAAAAATGCACTACCAAATAGTAGTCTTTTAGTGTAGATTTACGAGTATAATCAGTTTTAAGGATGCGAAGATTCTCCCGTCATCATAAGATAATCAAAAGGTAATAGTCTGAATTTATTCTGCTTAGAATAACTGCTAATTTGAAATAATCATGATATTGCATTTAAAGCCCTTTGATGATTTCCCATCTACTTAATTTGATATTAGCCGGTAATGAAAATATCCATTGTATCTTAATATGCTTTGCAAACTATACATTGATAATCTTTAAATTGAATGAGATATGATTACCTTTGTACGATCAAGAGATCTGAATCTAAACCTTGTTAGAAGTCGGAATAGGAAAGCCGAAGTAATAAAATAAATAATATTATTTCGTTAAATCTCTCTTTGTTTTCTCGCAGTAAATTTTATCGTATAAATCAGATTGCTTATATTATTGACAACATGATCGTAAGGGAAAGGGTGATACAAATAAAATATTTTCTAAATCTTCCTCCACTTTAAGTGAAGAGTAAAATAATTATTCCATAATTTATATACTTCTATACTAATATATTATGATTGCGTTTGTAATATATTCATTAATAAGCATAATATATTGTAGGAGCACTTTTGAAACCACAAAAGCTTGCAGTTCTTTTGATATGGAAGCATAAAAGTTCGAAATGATGTTAATGGTTATTTTATGCTACGTATAAAATATTCTTCCGTTGTAAACTGCGACTATTATTTGAAAGATGCTGAAAGAGAAAAATGGGATCTCTTTCTTTATTTTACAGCGCAGATGGCACTGCTTAAAAAGTATTTATGTTTGGTCATTGTAGGAGATAGGCAAGATCTGTAACCTTATTTTTATGCCCTTCAAACTACGACTGAACAATCTGACTTGCAAGATAAACTAATCTTGTACGCTCGTGAGAGGCAGCGAATGTGTTATTGAATAAACATGGTAGCTTAAAATGATTATGCAGTCAACTATATTTATTCTCATAAAGTAATACAGAGGCTGTTCGCATATTTTTAGACGAGTTTCACTGTATTTAAAGCAATATTTTAAGCACAATATTTGTGTTTTAAATTTCCTATTCGATAACCCTTATTCTTCACTATCTTTCTGCACCGTAATTACCAAAAAATAATGTCTTTTGTAGTATGGGAAGAAGTATTTTATCCCATTCCTCTTAAACAGCTTTCCAAAGTCAAAGGAGGAAAATCCGTGTGTGACACATCAGGATATTTAGTAGTGATATGAGTGATACCCATTTCTTGTTCCATTTTTTTAAGGAAATTAACAGCAGATTTTTGACGTGTGACTTCTTTCTTTGTTTTGATGCAGTTCAATTGATTGATGGCAATGTGGGTAAAGAAAAGGCATTTTATATTTGAGAATTGGGTATAAAGTATATTCCTGATAATATGTGGAGTTAATCTTAACGTTTCTGTCCACTCTCTTTATTTTTAATTTGCCGTTGTACGAAAAACCAGAAACAATTATAAATCCCTTTGAAAAAGTTCCTTTAGATTCTTTGAACCATGTTACACGAATTTTTCTTCTCTTTGATGCTAATAAATGAATCTATTTTTATTGCAGTCATTTAAATACTCCCAAGCTTCATCTATTGTGGCAACATTTTCCCATTTTTATCCGGATAAATATTTCTCATAAAGAATTCTGCAGCCCGTTATGCGTTCGGCGATATGTCGCGGAGAAAAACGATGCACATTATGCTTTTTCGCCTTTTTTAGATTCAAATCACCATATACAGTTGAAACTGACCATTTTTAGCTATTTTGCATCTGTCCTTTGACTTGGTGGATTTTCTCTTAGTATTAAAGATTTTATCTTTGCAACATACGAAACATACCATTTTTCCTTGGATTTGTGTTTGGAACAATTTTTCCGTTTGAAACCAGACTTTGAGTCTTTTCTCCCCTTTCTCTTTGGCAATATTAATTTTGTAGCTTTAATTATAAAAAAGCCATGCCCTTTCACAGCGTTTTTTAATAACTAGATGCGAATAACTTTCTTACGAAAGAATCACAAATATATCCTTCCATCCACTGCTTCATTAAAAAAATCGCAATTTTGCATGAAAACAAAACTGTCAAGTAGCAGACATAACGTATACTTTCAAATATAAAGTAGCATGTAAAAATTTTTAAAACAGACTATTTTTTATTAGTAAAGCAAAATCGTCTAAGAAAAGGTTCGAACATCCTCTGTAATTAGGTCTGATGCAAAGCATCATATAACTAACTCAAAGCATAACTAAGCACCATCGTCTTTTATTGTAAGAAGCAGACAGTCTGGATTGTAAGCTGCTGCTGGTATTCTCCGCACATAAAGTCATTCTGAAATGAAGTGTAAGGTATTTCTCTCACTTTCCTACCGTGCCTTTGTGGTGTAGTGGCTCTGCACACTGGACCTGTATTCCAGAATTCCGCGGTTCGATTCTCGGCGAAGGCGGTTGCTAATTTTTCATCTTGCTTGCTCCCACCCAAAAAAAAAAAAAAAAAAAAAAAAAAAAAAAAAAAAACCTAATGTCTCTACAGAAGAACTGTGTGAAGTGTGACATATTTAAAAGCAGTGCTTGTTTTATCTCCATGTCAACATTCTACATTTTATATTTGTTATTACTGTAGTCCCTGACTGCATTTATACGTGAAAGGAGTTTAACGCCTGCAATATGTTGTAAGTAATTCTACATATACGTTTTCATTAGGAATGTATGTACTAAAACTGGGTTCTTTAATTATAGAAGTTAGCAGTTATCTTCGCAGAGGTGTTTTTTTATTTTTATTTATATATTTTTTTATCTAATAGTCTTCCTAAATGCATTTCGGTCTCTATCAGCAAGTTTCTTTTTCATCCACCAGTTGTGACTATTTGGATTTTTATCAAATGTGCAAAATGAAATAACTGTTCAGAAATATTTGGTTTTGGTTCATATCTATCAGGATTGGTTGTTAAAAGTTGCTTTGAAATTATTAGCCCTCCGAAGGCGAAAACGCCAGTGACAGCCTTTCATTTAAACAACCACAAAGGCCAAGATTGAGATGTTTTCTTCCCTCCCCTAAGGTATGCAGTAGAAGGTGCAGTTTAGCCAAATTATCAATTTAATGCAGGCAGCTTGCCCTAAAATGCTAATGGAAGGTTCTTTGTTAGGAAGTAGAAAGGATATCATTTGAAATATTTACACATTTTTGGCGTTAATAGACGAAGAGATAGACACAGACTGATTTTAGAAGACTAAGATCAGCTAATTATTTTCAATAGTTATCTATTTTAGACATAAAAGAGGAAATAACTAAAGTAAAATGAAGATTTAAAGGACGACTTCAAAGTAAAACTAAGATTTTGTTTTACATACTTTCTATATTATAGACATACAGGATCGTTTTACATACAACAATTTTCTTGAAGAATTTCTACAGATAATCACAGTTCCTCGTATGCAAATTTGTATTAAATTCGGGCCAATGTGGTATAAATAGTACTGTTGTAATTTTTGCATTTCATTTGAAAAACAACGTTACGTTTTATGCGTTAATACTGCAAGGTGAAATTAGGTAATTCGGCAAGTGCGAAGACATTTCCCTAAGAAAATGACGGAAAATGTTTTGAAATTTTACTGTGGTTATTTAGTACGTAAAGGAAGTATATTACAATAAACAACTGCATTGCAGATAGCCAGAGTAATAGTTTGTTGTGCTTAACAAATTATGCTTAAGAACTAAGAACAAGAAATGATCAATATCTGAATTTAAAAAAAAATCAAAAGAATAAATTTATGAATTTCATTGTTCTTTTTATCCTGTGTTCCGTATGACAGCAGAAAATGGGAAAATCTTTTCAAAAAGATTTTAGATGGGATTAACCAGTTATTTTAATATTTTCTGTCAGTTTTTTCGTACAAAAGCGATTTCCCAGCTGTAATGAAAGATTGCAGTTTCTTAAATAATTTTCTGATATAAAGGATTTTGTACGTTCAAATTCAAGCATTTTCTAATGCTTAAGTATTTGGTAAGATTATGTAGTTTTTCAACATCATTCTTAAGAAGATATGTTAATAAAAACTATAACTTAAAAACATGCATTTTAGACTTTTGAAGAAAGATCAATTTAGAAATCAACGTACATTAATTTAAAGAATAAATTTATGAGAAGTTTTATAATGCACTTTTGGAAAACCTGATCTTTGATAAGAGGTAATTAAAGCAACATCCAAGCAAAATTTAAATTTAGGATTTAAAAAACAGCATGTTAGTAACTAAACATTTATACAGATAAATACAGACAACAATTAGAGCAGTTTTAGCAAAACATGAATACTTGAAAAGCAAATTATTACACTTTTCCACACGCTTCTAAAATAAATTATTATATTTACTATTAACCGCTTTAATTAAGTAAAAATTTTGTATACTTACTGCATCAATTAAAAGATAAATAGATATGATAATATCCATAGCTGTAGTTGAAAAAACAGATATTAACCAAGGAATTAGAAGCATACGACTGTCCTGAAAATTAAAACAAATGGTATTTAATTTAAATTACTGTATTGTTTTATCTCATCTGTAACAGCTAAAATACAACAATTAAAGAAATACAATTCCAAAAATTAAAACAAATATCTAATGTGAACTTTACATGACTTCCTTGTACGGTTTATTAAATTATACACATTGCTGCTTTTCATTTAAACTCAATCCCCCGATATTCATTAGAAATATAATTCTCATTCAATCAAATCAGTTCTCACTTGGTGGCAAGGCAAAAGTACTCAAAATCTAAAAACTGTAAAATTCAGAAAAACCTAAAACACCAAACACAGTTAAAAACAGTTGTAATGTTGCGCGCTTCCAACCTGCACGCAACAGTAGTGTTAACTGCTAAGAACTGGAAAGTAGACAAAGTCTTGAGAAGGGTTTAAAATCCCTTTTTATTCAACTTTAGAAATTACAAATGCGTGCTCTTGACGCTCACAAACTACGCCGACCCGGCGGTAAAATAAAAACAAGAAACTAAAAAGAGATAATAACAAGTGACTAACTACGAGGCTTTCTAAACGTAACTAACCTCACCGCGTTCTAAAATACCGCTGATAATTCAGCAAACTTCTGAATATTACGTTGAAAGATTAACAATCTGCCGAGGCAAGCACACAGGCCGAAACGCGTGGTTCTTCAATTTCTAACTAGCCACCTCCACACTCGTAAAGCAAGAAAGCACACTTTCGAACTCGTTTCCCTTCTATTTAACTCAGATTACTTCCGCTGACAATTTGAATCCTTGCGCGTTCTACTAAATTTACATACTCTGGCATTGGCAATTCCAGGGGAAAGTAAGGCTTGACAGGAAAGATAGTTTAAACTTAAAATAAATGTTAGTTAAAATAAATATAAACCCTACACAGTTAAAGAAAAATTTTTGTAATTTAAATTAGAGTTTCTAAGCAAGAACAACATATTTGGCCAATGGGTAGGAAGACAAAATTTTCGGTGCACACAAACTTAATTTTTCTTCCACTGGGCAAAAATACACTGAAGTTTGCGCACCAACTGAATTAATTCACTATAATTCCAAGAATTTAAAATATAAACAAACAAACGCCAGTTAGCCGCATCTTGTACTAATAAATTGCTGCTAATTTTAAAACTATCACACCCAAAATAACTAAAGGGATAAAAACCTTAACTGGAGCATAAGAAGGATAAAATTAAATTACTTTTAAAGCAACAAAAATGCATAACTTACAATATATAAGAATAAAAACATAGAGCTTATCAAGACGGGTAAAAGGATGGGCATAGTATGTATATACGCTCCATGGCTAATTGGTTTTGAGTTATGCATGATACATACATACTTAGGTATATATAGATGTCAGTAAGAAATCCCTTCTGAATCCATATTAAATACCTTTTGCAATTCGTTTTAGAAAGAATAATCCTTTATTCTGTCCGTACGTATGGATGTCAAGCCAAAAATTCATTCAAATGGATTTGAGAGCGGTGAAAATAAGAATTTTCTTTGAAATATGATACTCGAAATTTTTCGAGGTTACAATACTTCCTTTCTTTCGTTACAAGGAAGTAAAAAGTAACTCTCATTTTAATTCCACTGTTTACTACTAAGTATAAATGATTGAGATATAGGTATAAGAGGAAACAGTATTCACAAAGCTTTAACGGAATAAAAGCATTATATGGAAACTAGATGAAATTTCATATGTAAAATTCTATGGATTGTCCTAGTAAATTTGAAATTAAAGGTTTATTATGGAAAATTGTTATGTATTATTTTGTTGTGTACAATTATCACGTATTATTTTACTGTGCATAAGGTATTCTTAGTAATTATATTAATTTACTGTGAACGATGAATTTGTATTGTTCTTATTTCAAAATTAATGTTTAATATTTAGTATTCCTGCTGAAGATGCAGATTATTGATGAGATTATTGACTGTCGTCATCTCCTCTTGTCTCTTTGTCTGCTTTTATCCACAGCGTCAGCACGAACCTTTTCAAAGGTTGATTTTAGAGTCAAAATGCTACTTGACAGAGTAGTGCTGGAACTATGAGAAAATACCTGTGGTGCCTTGAACAAACTACAGTATCGGTTTATCGGTTTCCCTGACAACGATGAAGTTGGACCGTTTTATGTCGACGTTTTGTGACTGGATCCGGGCAGCTCCCCGAGTCCCTCAGTCTGGTGTACGCGGATTCCGTGAGCAAACATTTTTATTTTCATTTTGCTTTTCTTTTATAAGTATTCGTTAGGATTTAAGAAGAATTAAATTCTAACGCCTTACCTGACATTTTATATAAATTAAAATTTGTATTCTGCTGATAATCAATCAATTAATAGTTGAGAACGTTTTATGAGTGATTATTAGTTGAGAAAAAGTTATGAATAATAAATAGTTGAGAAAGTGTTAATTTCTTTTTAATGTTTAATTGTCATGAGTTTAAATTCTTGAGTACATGTTTAAAAGATTAATATGATGCGTTTCACAATGATTTTTGTAGGAATTGAATAATATTAAAAATGAGATTGACATGGAAAAAAAACTATGAGTAACTTTTAAAAAGATTTCGTAGGGCTAGTCTGGCCAGCTATCTAAAATTATAATATTTGGAATATTTAGTAAATGTGTTTATCGATTTAATTATTGTATGTTTCTTTTGAGTTTTAATTGTGGTCTACTGTATGTCACCCTTGTGTTCCTTACGGAAACTTGGTTTTACTCCAATTCGAACCTGGGTCTTAAGTGGCGAAAATCAATCTTAAGTGTTTGTAACTATACGATCGGCTTACTTAATTTATATGAACCCGGATGAGTAGACTTCTTAAGTGTGAGATTTATCCTTCTCTGGTGTTCTGAAGAGTTCTGTGTTACATTTTAAATGTTGTGTTTTAGGGCTATCTCTAGAATTGTATCGATATTTATTTGCTTTAGGTTGGAGATCTAAATTAGTTTTATTTTAGTGAGAGATAGCGTGTATATGATTTTGTTAGGGAAATGTATTTTTGTAATTTGTTTTGATAAATAATCTTTGATTCTAACAAAACACCAGAGATTTTTCTTTGATTTCAAATTGTTAAGTATGAATCTTTCACATTCACATTATATATAGGGTTAAGATTTTGAATATGAGAGTAAGTACATAGTAAGTGTTTAGTTAAGTGCTGAGTTTTAGAGATTATTTTTTTTCGCGGCACTAAGAAGAAGTCAGTTTAAAAGTTGAGTGTAAAAGTAATTTTAATTTTTCTTTTTTTCTGCATAACAGGTTATTATCTGTATTGTAATAGAAACAAAAACACTTTTTCTGTTTATATTAGATAAGCGTATAGTTCATAAGTTTTGTTATCAGCTACATCTGCAACTTTCTGTTAGATATGCAGTAACAAATATTTAACATAATCGCTATATTTCTGCATAATATTGAAAATGTGAATAGTACAGGATTATCTTTCAAATGTTTGAGCCAACTTTCAAGTGACAGGAATATTTTTATTTAATTTGATTTTGAAAACTTTTTATTTCGTATAACTAAGCAAATTTTCAATGGTAAGGTTTGGAAGTTTAAGTAATTAATTTAACTTTAGTAAAGGAAGTACCAATGCGAAACTGTTAATGATGCTTCTCAAAACGATTCATAATCTAGGAAAGATTTTGTTTTCTAATGAACTATAACCTCCTCAAAATTAACAAAGAAACAAGATTTATTTGGCGTAGATTTGGAAAAAAACTCAATCGACTTTCCAAGACAAGCAAGTCCTCATCAGCAGGAAAAAAGAAATTTGCAAGACTGCCTAGGCGTAATGGTCCTTTTTAAATCCTACTGCAGTAAAACGAACAAGAAGGTAGCGCCATCTGTAGGCAAAATTAATAAATATCTGCCTGGTAGCAACTAAATTTATCTGTCCGTAAAATTAGTCAGTTATTATTGATTTTGCCGACAACTGACGCTATTTTCCTTTTCTTTTACTGTAGTAGGGTATAAATAGGGAAATTATGCCCGTTGCTTTTCATGACATCTCCGTGACTTTGCCAAATTTGAATTCAAACTTTTGCCCGTTCCCTCTCACCTTGCTATGGAAATGCAACAACTTGATAAAGATTGCTGTTTGACGAGAATGGCATGAGCTGTCTGACGAAAATACGGGTAACGATTATGAATACGATACTTATCTAAAGAATATGGAAGTTATTCAAACTATGTCCCTTGCTACAGAAGAACATTTAAGAAGGAATAACCCTGAATGATTTCGACCTCCCAAGGGTGCGAAGATTAGCCATGTGGAAACTGTCGCTCCGAAAATTCTATTAAAGAATAAATTTGACAAATTTCCAGAAGAGGAAAGCAACCTGAAGCTCCTAAGGAAAACCCTGATATATGTTACTAACGAAAGAATTCCGCCAATGGTCTTTTCTCAGGATAACATCGACTAGATTACAGTTGACGCTATTTTTACCGATCATAGCAATTTACCTGAAATTCTATCTTTGTTCATGTCCAATGCATTAACCACTACCGAAGCGTTGTGAACAGCCTCCAAGAGAAGAAAATACTTATCCATTCCTATCAAATTAGTTCTTAGAGAAACATTAGAGCAGTTATCAAGGACCTACCGAATTCAGTCACCAAGCACGCCATAAAGAGGATTTTGCCAGCAGAAAATTCCCGATTTTAAAAGTTAGGCATTTTCGGTGATCAGCCAAGAATAATTACTATAAACTCCCACTCTCAATTTATAGAGTTGGAAAGAACCGAAGCTAGATATGCCATCTTCAAATTAAAAAACATATTCAATGCTAATGTTGAATTTGAGAATCTTATCTCTTTATCTCTTTCTCTACTTAAGTAAGATTTCTCTGAGATATTTTCCCTTCTCATTTTGAGGCATATCTCGATTATTCCTCTCTATATTCTTTGCTCCCTCACAGCCGCGGTAGCTTTCCTTTTACTTACTCCTCTATCCCTCTTTTCTGTTTAACCGCAACTCTGCTCAAACCTACTCTTCTAATATGGAGGTAGACGGTCTTTGACTGTTAATATTCCTCATTGGCACTGGCATTTGCTTTCCATGACAAAGTAGGAAATTGGCTTTGAGTTACCTGGTAAAACAGGTTAAGGACTTTACTTATCAACTATTATTTACTTCATTTATTTAATCATCATTATTATTCATGTTTCAGCGTATCTGTAAAAATTACACATCAAAGGTTCAGCGTGAGCGTTCGCCATTAGCCAGGTCACAACACATGACTTTACTTACATGCATGTTTGATTCGTCAGCTTGCAAAGTGATTCTAAAAGTGATTTTCAATTTACGCAAATTATGAAAGTGAAACGTTCCCATTAACTGATTCACGTAACATGACCGAGAAACTGCAAGTTTCAACATTCTGGATATCCAAAAGACTGTGTAGACTTTAAGGCCGCAGTGCTTAACTCACTCGCTGATAAGAACTTTGTGAATTTAGGATGTTAGCTTCGAACTCCTGACTTTGTCAAAATAAAGCTTCTCCGCCGGGTGTAAGGTGCGACTGGGTACCATAATTCAAAAAACAAAATACCCTGATCGGCCTTAGGACAGTAAACTAAATCGACTAGTAAAACTCACAGTAGTTAAAATTAGTAGCAAAGTGATGATACGTGTTCCATCGCTTTCCAGTCTTGTAAATATCCTGATAAAGAGGGACCTGTGTGCCCTCGAAATCGACTGAGTTTTTTGCCTAAAGCTACATCAAATAAAAGTTTATTTCTTTGCTAATTTTGTGTTTTACTTCTGATTTTCTTCTGGGTATTTCTCTTCTGATTTAATTGTAATCTTGTTCCTCTTCCCCATTTTTTCAATCTGTAAACAGCTGTCTAAATTTCTCGAACTTAGTTTAGATCATTGCTGTTTTTATCACTGCTATATTAGTTTCCCAAAAATTTTCATTCCAATTCTTGCTGTAGCGTTTTATTTGCTAAAACATAATGAATCGTAATTAACATCTAAAATTATTAGAAAATTTGCCTTGCACAATAACTGCTTAATTCTGACGAAAAATCAGTAACAAGAACTGAAGTATGCTTTCATATCACAGGTGCTTGCTAAAAATTTTAATTTAAAACTGTATAAAATCGATCAAATTTGTTTACGTAAAATTTGACATTCATAAAAAGGAATTATTACCATTTATAAAAAGGAATTATTCTGAGTTTTACCTGTTTATTACAGACAAATAATTTTACATAAATACTTTAACAAACCACACAATCAAGTGATTGTGAACGAAGAAATTTATATATTCTCTTTTAAGTTTTAAAAGATTCAAAACTAATTAAAAACACAGTTAAAGTACATTGTTTTTAAGATTCGAACATTTTTGAAGCAACAGAAGTAAAAAAAAAATAGGTGTTGGTGTTGTGGTTATTTTAATATGGCAAAGCACACTGGGCTACCGCCTAAGGTAGGGGCTTTCGTGGAGGACTTTAAGGGAAAACTAGCTCGTATACACGTTACACATGGGGAAACCACGAAAACACCCATGCAGCCAGCCCGTTCGCGGATTCGAACCTCGGACCGAACTACCATGTTCAGCGACTTTACGCTCGGCCGCTGGGGGCTAAAAAAAAAAAATAAAATAAAAATATATATTAAAAAAAATTAAAACTGCTCGAATGAAAAAGGGTCACATCTAATATTATCGTACATATATAATATTTGCTTATGGCCATCTTAAATCGAAAATATCATATTACTACATTTAAAATTTAGAATTCGAGAAGGAAAAATCAGCATAACATAGGTGAAAATCCTAACTAGAATTTCTGAGTAACATCAGCAGCAAGAGATACATGATAACGGTGGACCTTGCTAATAGCTTTGCAAAAAGCGGAAATACTAATTATTAAGGAAGTTTTGGAAGGACTTTACCCGACTCGATGCGCTTAATTTTTCAATTCTTCTAGGTTGGTAAATTGCGCATGTTTTACTTTAAAAATAATTGAATTATGTTGTTCTTAAGTCCCGGTTAAGATTTTTAAGCTTTTAGTTAATCTGCATGCAATAGTTGTACAATTATCGACAATTTACGAGTTAAGTCTAACTATGCCGCCATTTGTTTACATTTGAAACTCTTAGTGGAATAGTGAATTAAGTCAGTTTGTGCACCAACTTCAGTGCCTTTTTGCTGATTGGGACCAAAAATAAACTTTCAATTCTGTGCAATGAAAAATGTGTTGTCCTACACACTGAAATGTGTTGTCCTACACCTAAACACTGAAAAATGTGTTGGCCGAATTGCTTGTTTTTGCTTAGAAGCTTTAATTTGAATTATAAAATGTCTTTATCTGTATTTGGTGTTTTATGTCTTTCTCTATTCTGCAATTTTTAATGAAAGTGCTTTGAGTTTTTACATACTTTTGCCTTGCCGCGAAGTGTGTGTGTGTGATTATGGCAAAGCTTCGAGGGATATTTGTCTAAGAGGAGGAATGCCTTCGTGGAGGACTTTCTAAGGGAAACTGGCTCGTATACACATTACACATGGGGAAAACCACGAAAACGACCATGCAGCCAGCCCGTTCGCGGGATTCGAACCTCTGATCGAACTACCAGTGTTCAGCGATTTTACCGCTCGGCCGCTGGTGGGCCATCCTTGCCGCGAAGTGAGAATTGAATTAATTGAATGAGAAATATGTCCCTAAAGAAATCCGAAAAATAAATTTAAATGAAATGCAGCAAAAAATGTGTGTAATTTAATAGGCCGTAAAAGGATGTCAATGAGGTGTCCACATCGGATATTTTTTATTGTAGTCGATTGAGAAAAAAATTAAATGCTTTAAAAAAATGTTACGAACACTAACTGAGACTTTTTATTAACTGCGACCTCTGAATTTTTCATATTTCTTACATTAGTTAGGAAAGTAGACGTAAAGTGACCATTAGGAGTCGTTTAATCTCTTGTTTTTATCTTTTTTATACTAAAAATAATTGATTTTGAGTTTAATTTAATTTTCTCATATCACCGATTGAATAAATTTAATAATTAATTTTGTGTAAGGATTGTTTTGCAAAGTTTTGGTATAAATGAATTTAAATGTACTCGCCTATAAAATTTTAGTTTCTTTCCTCTCTACGGATTTTATTCTGATATACAGAAATAAAAAATGTGGCTTTTCTAAATAATTAAATAAGTTCAAACAGTTCGACCAAAAATGGTTTTTATTTTGTTAATACAACCTTTGTAAATTTGTTGCATAGTGCAAACTTAGAGATCAGCCTTCATTTTCAAAACATATGAGAATGATTAGTATCAGATTATTTCTATTATGTTTGACTCATAGGTTTAATACGTTAAGAAAAGGTAACAAAATATAACACTTACGACGCACAGTCCAATCAAAAGAAGTACAGATGTAACGACACAGCATCCGGAACATCCCAACATTAAGAGACTCATCGCAACCATAGCTGAAACAGGGGAATTTCAATAATAATATTCGCATTAAGTATTAAATAAATAAAAAAAATAATATTCTAGTCACTGAAGTGTAAATAATACATAACATTTCATAAAACACGTAGAATAAGAAATATAAAATAAATTCAGACTTAAAATAAATTTAAAATAAACAGATTATTTTTTATCTAATCAGAAAATATCTGCTTACGTGGACTATCCATGACTGAATCAATATGAAATGCTGCTCCTGTTAAAATAATCGTGTACAAAATCTGAAAAACAAATATTTAAATAAGAAGTTGAAAAGCATATTATATTAATATATTGCATATGTATGTTAGTTCCATGAGATATAAAATGAATCTGGTATTCTTTTTGAATTTCTTTTGAAATAAAACAATAACATGTCATAATACTGCTGAAATTGAACATTTATAATTATATTCATTCCATTCAGTCATTTAAAATGTGTCTTGGATGTTTATTTTTATAGGCCAACATCTAACACAAATAAAGAACTATTTCTTATAAAGTGAAGCATTATAATCTTGCTTAAAAGTTTAAAAAAATTTATAACAATAAGGATAACAAATTAATTAATGTAATAGTAAAAAATTAAAACGCGAAGTTTATAGGAGCACTGTTAGCGTTAAAGAGAACTTTATTAATATAATTTTCAATCTTTCGTAATAATAATAATAAAAATTCACATTAAAAAAAAAGAATCTTGGAGTACTTAGTAAAAATTTGTGCTTCGTGCAGACTTGGAACTTTATAAAACAAACTTGGAGTTACAGTATTCAATAGCAATATAATTCAGCCTTGAAAAGGCATATCTTTCTATGTAGTTGTACTATATCAGTTCTTTGCACTTAATGTTAAATTTATAGATATTTTTTAACCATATATTTTACAGTTATATTCAAAATGTTATATATAATATGACAAAATGTAATGCAATTAGATGAAAAATTGAATATCATTAAAAATACTACAATAAATAGTTCATGTAATTTTTGGAACACTTTTTAACAGAATTTTCTCAGTACTATTGTAGTATTCAACATTTATATAGAAAATTGCGTGAATGTGATTTTGCCTTTGTTATAAAACTGAATAAATTTCTCTTGCAGTTATGCAAAATTAAGTTAGTTAAATATAGAATGTTCGCTCTCCTCTCACCCGTAATCAAGAAAGACTATGTCAGATTCGAATGTTATTTTATTTTAAAATGCATTATCAAGATCTTTTGTCTTAGGAATCTTAATACTGATCTAAATGTTGTAACGCTACTGGTAGGATTGCGAGAAAGTAATTCTAAACATTGCGATTATTTATGCGAAAGGATGGAACAAACGCCAGACTGTTAAAAAATTGCATTTAGGTGAAAGTACTATCTGCCTTGGAGCAAAATGTGAGACATTAAACCTGAGTGGCCAAGGGAAAGTTTTATTCACCTTAGCCTCACAAACAAATGTTAAACCTCTTGATTTAGTTGTGTGAAATGTGTACGAAAACACGTAATAAAGTCACAAGGAAGTACAAGCTTTTAAGACACATAACAGTGTACCTGACACTGATTACAATATTAAAATAGTTTTAAATTTTTTTTTGATTTAAATATAGCTTTTTACATATCTGTTTTAATTTTAATGATATTATTGCGATGCATGAAAAACTATATTTAGATATTTTATGACCTTATTCACATAATCAAAAATACAGTTTTCATTTCCCAAAATATTTAGCATAAACTGAAGGAAATTGACAGTCTAGAAAAGATCTTCATCCTGCAGTAGACGCCTACTTTCGTCAGAATTCCTGGAAGCGAATTGGCAGACAGATTTGTCAGAGAAGCAAGAGGTCTAAGCAATGGTAATAACAATCAAATTACTCTTGGCAATGCAAATGCCATCGAAAGGTATCGTATTAGAGGAAATGTCATTAAAAATGACTACCAGATTTACGAAATCAATGTTAATAGAAACCTCACAGAAACTACACTGTCTTATAACGAATTATGAATAGTTTCAGCATCAATGACAGAAGGAGCTTTAAGCAGCTGTAGTAGAAAAGCTTTCACTTCATAAATATAGTGATTAGTGACGCTGAATCCAAGTCAACGTCTCTAACAACTATCTCGTCTAGGCGCCTCTAATACCGAACAGGTTAAAGCAAGGTCAGACCTTCTGCAGCCAAGTAGACATATCATGTATCGTCGGGTCATATTAAGCGCTAAGATTCCGCCCTAGATGGAATTACGTGACGAAGGTGCTCCTGAAAGCGAGATGTCATACACGCCTCCCGAAGAATCAGAAGATCTAAACGAAATAACATTCAAATTACTCTTGATGAAGTCAATGTCGTTGTGAGGTGTCGACATTGGGTAAATGCCATCAGAAATGACTGCCAGAGTTTTGAAATTAATGCTAATCGAGACATTATAGGAACGATAAATCAGTGTATGAAGATAGAAAGACATGGTACAAGATTCTGCCGTTCCTGAAATAACTATGACCAAGTAGCATTAAACGCTGACCATTTTTTTACAGTCCTACAATTATTAGGTGACCATCATTACCTCCTATGAAGGGACGGACAGTTACAACCATGCCGTCTCCGGGATTCGAACTTGGGTCCATCGCTACGGCAGTCAGAGTCACTAACCACTATAACGGCAGGGAGGTGTCCTACAAATATAAAATCCCCACATCTTCTGAGAGCATATCGTTTTAATCCTGAGCGTCTCCATTCTGATAACATCATTGAGATAGAGGGCTGTATTTTGTCTTCACATGATCCTTTGCGATCAGTTTTGGGTTCTCATAGAAACTACACCACCACCAGTTTTATATCTGTAAGTGCTTTTACAGTACATACGTGTATTGTAACTAGTGCCAGTAAACTACACATTACAGCTTATATAAAATAAATCATGAATTACTGAAAAAATTATCGGTTCCATTTTTATTAATAATATCAATATAATTTCCAGAAGTAATTTTTTTAAATAACTTAAATTTCGGCAATGAGAACAAAACAGTTAAAAATCTAAAATTTGTTCATTTATTATTAATTCATTTCAATTAGTTATATTCAAATTTGAAATCATACGTTTCGTATATTTTTAACATATGTGCAGAAAGTTTGGTAAATGCACACAATTTTTTAAAGAATTAGTACTGTCTAATTGTAACAGATTGCGTTTTTTTTATTGTAAAGTTTCCTGTACTAACGTTTTTGAAATTCAGCTAGCACATTTAAATGATAAAATATTCCACAGCTTCAACATTTAACATAACGAATTTACAAATTTTAAATTCTGAGAAAACCTGTATGTTATTTTTCTGGGAACTCGATTTTTTTAACATCAGGTGTAAGAAAATGCATTTTCTTTACATGATACGCATTCATTCAAAGCTCAGTTCTAATCACCTCAATTCCGAATTGCATTTATGAGTACTTTTATCAAAAGTGATATTTATATTCAATTATGCAAATTTTGACTAGGGCAGTAAATTTTTATGGGTAATGTTTTATGTTATACAGTTAAGATATAGCTATTTTATTGGACTAGAATAAATACATAAATTTGCTACATGATCTAAAAATTTAATTAACTTTAACTAAAAATTCCGTTGAAAGTACATTATGTCTGTTTTTAAATTTAAATTAAAATAAACTAATAAGAAATTTAATAATATCAAAATTAAAAAGTAATAGTGTAAGCAATTTTTAAATTTATATAAAATATATTCTAAAATTTCGAGAGGAAAAAAGATATTTTGAGTGACTTTAAATTGTTTGTTAATCATTCAAATATACAGGTAACATGCATTTTTATCTCTGGATTTATGAGAACATTATGCATTTAAAAGATTTTTTTTTATATTAAACTGAATAAATCGTAAAACTGAACACATTTCAAATAGCTCTGAATTTATTATATAAAATCAACCGCCTTATGATATATGTTTAAAGAAAGAATGATAACAATTTGTTTTTCCTATTTGCATTTATTTACAGCTTAAAAGATTTCGAAGACCTAGTAAAAACTCTTAACATGTTGCGTCGCAACTCATTATTAGCCTCAAATTCAGGAACAAGAGAGCATATGTTAGCATTTTCAGTAAGTGGATGATTGGAATACATTTCTTGCCAGTAATTGAAAAGTTTTTGAAAACATTAGTTAAAATTTTTAATCTGTTTTTTCAGTGATTGCTTTCAGATGGATCATTCTCTGCCATATAGCAGGGGAGTTCTCGTCCTTTATGACAACATATTTTATTCCCATATTTTATAACTGAAAGAATATTTCTTCGTAAGTTGAAATATGACATCTGAATTAAATTACACACTTAAAGCAGATTACAAGAATAACATATGGCAAATTAAAATTAAATAATGTACCCACAAACACAGTTCAAATATGGATATATTTCACTTATCCATGTCAGCATAAATTTTCAAATATAAAACTGCGTCCTTTCCCAGGTTCAAAGTGAACGCTGCGAGAAAAACACAGCATTGGATTTAAAGTGTAAGAAAAATCATGCATTCAAGGGAGATTCTCTTAGTTATTTGTGGAAGTAATATGAGAATAAGGAACCTCTAAAATATGTACAAACCAAAATATTGAAATACGAAAATCTGGAAAAAGAAGAAAGCATCTAGAAAAGTTACCTATAGTACTATAATATAAACAGTCACATTTAAAAATTAGCAAAGCTAACAATCCAATTAGTGAAACATTGGCTAGAAATTGATGAAATTTATTTAAATTTAGAAGTGTTTTAACTGCTATGAGCATTAGATTTTGAAAAGAGCTTTAGGTGTAATTCCAGAGGCGAGTGTATTATGGACTATAAGTAATAAAAATAAATTTGGTTTTTATCGCATATGCCAGCTACTGATTTATTAGTAGCAGCTTTGAGTAGAAGAAAAAAATGTTTTTTGATCACAAATGTAATGAAATAATAATTGTTAGAGAAATATTGCGCTCGATATTTCATACAAAACTACAGATTATATATAATAATGAGTATATTGACATAACATCGTTCGCAATAAAGTTAAAATATTTGTTCTATGCGACTCTAGCGCAACGAATAATAAAAAGTAGCCAAATAGTAATATTCCCTAAGTTTCCCTATTCTGAAGTTAAAATACTTAATTTATAACGCGGCAGAACTACTTTTGAAACATTTTAGAGTCTTCAGACTTCCAGATGGTAGGATAATGGCACAAAATAACATAAAAATGTAAGTTAACTTTCATTTATGAGGACTTAACGATCAAATGAACATTTAAATGTCCATTTTCTACGAGAACACAAAGTGCACATAAAGTGAAACTGAAGTCTCAGTAACATCTGTAAACACAGGAAAATTTTAATAGCTTTTATTATAATTTTAATGATTATTTATTGTAGCCTTATTTATAAATATATGGTAATACAGTCCTTTTATTAGGACTAATACCCTTCAAAAACGTAGTAAATTATGAAAATGGATGCTTGCATACCAATTGTTTACTTTCAGATAGATATCAACTATAAATTTAGGGGGTGGAGGAAACTTTTCAAAAATGCCTTTTTAATATCAGAGGAGAATTATTATAGGAAAAGGATATTTCAAAAAGTACGATAGAAATATGTAATTAAATTGCAGAAGATAAAAGGAGTTTTCCGTGGCTCTTAACGTTTGCTTTATCAGGAAATTACATTTTTCTGATAATTTAGGTGATGGGAAAGCTGAATTGTAAATCAGCTGAAGCTGAAATAAATTACAATGGTCATCCAAATTAAAGGATAATGAGAAAAAATATGCTCACTAAGTTAATTTTGCAATAGTTGTTTATGTTAATTAAATACAAATGAGCACAAAATTGCACTTCCGCTCATACGCTGACGCCGAAAATACTCTAATTCGGTGATTGACAATATGCTGCGCAATGAACGCATGTTGAAATTCCGGTCTCTAGTATTGTTTAGTGAATGTGGTTTTTGAGAGTGATCAGTGTGCAGTCCTATGGCGTAAGGCCATCATTTATGTGAAAGGTCAAAATTGGCAGAATCAAGGGAGGTGAAACACAAATACAGGTCGTCCAAGATTTAAATACCCCTTAAGTGTTATTCAAGAGTTTAAGCCTCTTTTTAAGCACTGGAACAGTTGAGAGACAACATAGTCAAGGGCGATCAAGAGCAAGAACTGCATCAAAATACGGGTTTCTATCTTTATCCGACTCGAAGAAACGGCGAAGCGACAACAAGCTATTTGGTTTTAGACCTTCAGGCACAGGAACTCGAATTTGCTAGTCTAGTGCTGCACGAAGGCTTAAAACGATATTGGACTGCATGCGAGAAAACCAATGGTTTGTGTCCCACTCACTCCAGCTACCAGAGGGGTCCGTTTAAACTGATGTCTTCGTCATTTTCGATGGAGCCAAGATGATTGGGCCCGAGTACCTTTTACTGGCGAGTCCAGACATAGTCTAAACAGTGATTCTACACTGGAGAGAGGAAGGAACACGCAACTTGCTTTCTCTTGACCGTGAAAGGTCCCGTTTTGGCCATCGCGTTTTAATGGTTTGGGAGGAATCATGACAAATGGCCACACCACACTGCATGCCTTTCAAGAAGAACGTTTAACAGCTCGGGAGGAGGTATTGGAACGCCAAGTTAGACTGTTTAAGGATGCTATTGGTCCAGAAGTTTTGCTAATAGATGACAATGGTCAGCCTTATAGAGCATATGGGTTGTCAGATTACTTGTAAACAGAAGATATCACTCGAATGGATTTGATACTTTACTCACCTGACTAGAACCCGATTGAGCATGTGTGGGATGCCTTAAGGCGTCGAATTTCAGCGCGCCAAATTCTTAACCAGACCATCCAGGATCTGCAGAGTGCACTTTTAGAAGCGTGCAATTCCACAAGACTTGGTTCGACACATACAAATATATTATAAGTGTTGAACCAACCTTTCTATAACTTGATAAAGTATATGAAATCAAAATGTGAAGTAATCATGTCTGCCCGAAGTAACCATACACCATGTAAAGAAAAATGTTTCCTACAAGAGGTGAGTTAATTTTTCTATTATTTTCCGATTTCCATAAAATTGGATTTAATTTCAATATTTTGCGGGTAATCAACTGCCAAACATTGTAATTTATGTTAACTAGCGCTTTTATAAAAATTTTTATCAATAGTTTTTCATTAAGAATTAGTTGCATTTTATTTCTATCATTATCCTGAAATTTTGATGACCAGTGTACATTACCTATTACCAATTAACTTCTTTAACTTCTTAGAGTAAAATCTTAAGAAATAATAGCATTTGCGTGTATATTATGTTTCGTGTTTTTAATTTATACTCCTGTAAAACAACAATTTCATTTTATTACAAGCCATTTTTAACTCAGTTACTGAACATTATTTTATAATTGGTATGATCATTATCGTATAATTCTTTAGGTACTTTCTATGAAATACATAATATTGTAGCTTTGAAAGCTGACGTTGATACATAAAAAATATCCAGATATGCTTTGTTACCTACAGCACAGTTTTAAGTAGACATTAATTTAAGAATTTTATTATCCAAATGCATTGAAATATGTCGAAAATTTCAGTGCGAATAAATTCTTCAAACTGGGAAATTTAGTAGCTATTAAACAAAACTTTTAATAAATATGTTTAACCAATTATACTAAAATCCGAGACGATGATATAATAAGGTACTTTCTCTCTCCTTCCAGC